AAAATTTAAAAAAAAAAAGAATAGATTTGACACACTGAACACTAATAACTGGAGACCAGACAACTTGTGCAATGGCATCAAGGGCATGAAGAAAGTGGGATGACATCATACATGAAGAAAGCAAAAGGTCAGTGTGTTAGACTGAGTTCTCTAGAGAAGCAAAACCAGTAAAGCTTATATACACTTAGAGAAGCTGGCAACTCCCAAGTTCTTGGATCAAACGTCAAGCTGAAGGCTTTCCCCAATTTGTGCTCCTGCAGGGGCTAAGGAGCTCAAGGCTGGCAGGCAGTATGCTGGCTGTTAACTCCAACAAATGATGAATCCAAGAACTCCAAGCTGAATGGTGGATAGTTCGCTCATGGACAGTTGTAGGCAGCCCAACAGAATCCCGATCCACAGAAAAGTGTCTCTTTTCCCTGGATGTCCATTAATATATTGGAAACAGGCCACATCACTAGGGAAACTCCCTTTCAACGGATTGGCTGCTCAAAACATATACATCTGATCCCATCATTGGAACAACCCACATCACAACTGCTTAAACCACACAGAATTGTGGTCCAGCCAAGTTGACATACAGCTCCAACTATCATAGTCAGTAAAAAGACAGGAAAGAAAGAAAAGACTAAATTGGATGTCAGAAGAGACTCTGAAACTTGCTCTTGAACGTACCGTAGCTAACACAAATGGAAAAAATTATGAAGTAAAAGATCTGAACAGAAGATTTCAAATGGCAGCTCAGGAAGACCACGTAAAGTATTACAATGAGATGTGCAAAGACCTGGAGTTAGAAAACCAAAAGAGAAAACACTAAGCATTTTTCAAGCTGAAAGAACTAAAGAAAACAGTCAAGCCTCAATCTGCAATATGGAAGGACTCTATGAAAAATACTGAATAACACAGGACGCATCAAAAGAAGATGGAAGCAATATCCAAAGACACTGTACCAAAAAGAACTAACACTGAACCATTTCAGATCAAGAACTGACAGTATTGAAGGAAGAACTCCAAGCTGCACTGAAGACACTGGTGAAAAATGAGACTCCAGCAATTAACAGAATATCCAAGTAGATGTTTTAACAAACAGATGCAATGCTAGAAGCACTCTTTATCTATGCCAGGAAATTTGAAAGACAGTTACCTGCCCAACCGACTAGAAGAGATCCCTATTTATGCCCATTCCAAAGAAAGGTAATCCAACAGAAAAGTTGTCAAGGCTTTTCTTTTAATTGGACCCACAATCAATGTCCATGGAAGAAGCAGTTAAGAACTCAAACTACATATTGCATTTGGCAAATCTGCTGCAAAAGACCTCTTTAAAATGTTAAAAAGCAAAGAAATCACTCTGAGGACTAAGATGTGCCTAACCCACAGCACAGTATTTTTAATTACTGCATATGCATGTGAAAGCTGGACAATGAATAAGGAAGACTGAAAGATCCCATCCATGCCTTTGATTTATGGTGCTGGTGAAGAATATGGAATATACTATGGTCTGCCAGAATAGGGAGCTCTGGTGGTACAGTGGTTAAAGCATTCAGCTGCTAACCAAAAGGTCGGTGGTTCAAACCCACCAGCCACTCCTGAGGAAAAATTATGTGGTAGTTTGCTTCTGTAATAATATAGATTCCAATAACGATATACATTGGAAACCCTATGGAGTAGTTCTACTCTGTCCTATAGGGTCACTGTGAATCAGAATCAACTTAGTGGCAGTGGGTTTTAGTTTTGCCAAAAGGACAAACAAATGTGAAGTACAGACTCTGGAAGAAATACAGCCACAATGCTCATTATAAGCAAGGATGGCAAGGCTTCCTCTCATGTACTTTGGAGAAGGACATCATTCTTGGTAAAGTAGAAGGTCTGTGAGAAAGAGGAAGGTCCTCAATGAGATGGACTGACACAGTGGCTCCAAGGGGCTCAAGCATGGCAACAATTGTGAGGATGACACAGGATCGGGCAGAGTTTCTAGGTAGAGTCTCCATGAGTTGCAGCTGACACAATGTCACCTAACAACAACACAGATACATTTAGGGATTCAGAATTTGTTTCTGGACATGCAGAATTATTGAGGCCAGATTTCAGGTAGCTCTAGAACCAGACTGCTGGTATCCAAATTCTGGCTGTAGCAATTTATTAGCTGTGTAACCTTAAGAAAGTTATCTGAATGCTCTGTGCCAGTTTCTTCATTGTCTATCAAAGACTGTGGATGTATTTAAGGCTTTTAGCAGAGTAGCTGGTACACAGTAAATGTACAATAATCTAGCTATAATGAATCTTTCTCATAGAATACAAAAAGGGGCCGAAGCAATTTAGATTGTGTGAAAAGGTTGTTTCGTTTGTATGAACTCAGAACTTATTTTTCTAGAGTTGTCTCAGAAGTTTTGTGACTTATACACAGAAGTGAAGTGCAAGTGTTTGCATCAAGTTTCCTCCCTTGTTCTCTGGCTTATGCATTATAATAAACCACTAATTTGGTTTATTCTACATCTGGTCTACCTAAAAAGTCCTACTTTCCCTCACTTTTTGCCACAATTTGTTGCAAACTCTGAGACCACATCTAACATTTAGTGACGCTTTGCTGGAAATAAAAACGATTTGCTTAAAACTAAGGCTTATATGAGAACAAAAGAACTGGGTGGTGCCTGCCTACCACTACTGAACATTTTGATCAAATATACTATAAAAGTATCCTGATCAAAATGGAAAAAATGTAGAAAGGAATTTCAAACTCTCATGGCATCTAGACTTTCTGGTGCCTTAGAGACTAGATGAACCCCTGAAACTACTGCCCTGAGATCTCTTTAAATCTTAAACCAAAAATATCTCCTAAAGTCTTCTTAAAATCAAACAATAGGTTAGCTTAACTAGTAAAAAAAAAAAAAGTCTGCCTTGAGAATTGTGTTCTTTTAAAATCTATCTATATGGGATCAAACTGACAACAGTAACTCAGATATTTATATAGGAAACTTACGGTACAGTGAGCTTGTTAATAGAGGAGGAACAATTTGGAAAAGGAGGGTAAGAATAGTTGCACAACACCAAGAATGTACTCAGTGTCACT